AGGTAAAAGAATTTGAGGACCATCTGCTGTCTGAGGCCTATAACCGCACCTAGGAAGGGTGGAAGAAACAATACATAAAGGAAGACAGGAAGAAAAATGATTTTTAAGGTGTCGAGAGTATCCTAAACCAGCATGAGACAACACAGACAGACATACAGCAGAGAAAGGGAAGAAAGACTTGAAATTTGTGGGTTTAGGCAACATACCTGAGGCTTTTTCGGAGAGCTTACATCTGGTCCTTCTGAGGAAATGGCAGCAATAGTGTTCTGGAGACATCTGGGTATAGCAGCCCTGAGCAAACCAGTTAAGAGGCTTGGCTGCTCGCTAGGGGCTGTGACTCTGGCTATACGTAGAGCAGCCTAATGCAGAGACATGGGGTTTTCCTGGAGCAACATATCACAAAGAGCTCGCTCGAGCCAGTTAAGCCCACAGACAACTATCCTTTTGCCATCCTGTGGGATGAATGATGTCACCAGTCAGAAGATACCCGAGGTGTGTCACCGGTGACTTTGAAGTTCAAGATAGAGAACTGAGTGGAAGGTAACATTTTCATGTCTATCCACTGAAGGCTGTGTATATGAAAGCGAAAGGAGGACCTAGAACAGAGTTCTAGGCTGGGAGCCTGCTTCTCCCTCTGCCTATCTTTCCCCTTGCTTGTACTCTCTCTTTATAACAAATAAATAAAGAAAATCTTTTTTTTTAAAATCACTTTTATAGGCCCCAAAAGGGGGATAGGGAAATGCTCATCAGTTTGAGGTGGAATTGTAGTTGACAATGAATTCAAACCGAGACCCCATTGTGTGCAAAAATGCCTGGAGTGTTCTCCGTGGGTCTCATGTTTCAGCGACTTCCTGACAAAGTGAAGTGAATGCAGAGGGGAGACTCTCCATGGTGAGTGGCCTGGAAGCCACATTTGCATACAGGAGGCTGAAGAAACTGGGTTTTTAGCCCCAAAGGGGGAAGCCTCCAGGGGGACGACAGGATGTTAATCTTTAATGATAAGAAGGACCATTATGTGGATGCGCATTTAGCCGCATTCTGTGTGGTTCCAGAGGAGAGGACTACTGGGTAGAGATTGTGAGGAACAAATTTTTGGCTTCATGGAAGGAAGAGCTATTGATCTCTTTAAAAATGGAATGAGTTGTCTCATAGGTAAAGTACTGAGGTTTTATAGTCCCTGGGAATTTGAAGCAGAAAATAGACTGAAGAGTGGCCTACGTTTTATGTGTTACATTCTACATATTTAAAACTAACAGTGCTGGAAAAAAAACAAAACAAAAACCAAAAACTAACAATGTTGGGAGAATTGTGGGGTTAATGTTCTTTTTCAGGGACTGTTTAATGTGGGCTTCTAAACCAAACCTGGGCATCTGATTCGGAGTGGGCCTGCAAGCTTTGTTCTGTTCTGGATCAACCTATGTGTGTGCTTTCCTTACTTTTAGTTCTACAGCTGATGCTGGGCCTTAGTGCTAGGACTAGTCGCCTGCTCCAGGAGAGCCCATGTAGGTTGGCTCTCATGACCATTCAGGAGCACCTCTCTCTCTCTCTTTTTTTTTAAGATTTTATTTATTTACTTGAGAGAGAGAGCAAGCAAGAGCAAGCATGAGCTGGAAGGAGGGGCAGAGGGAGGAGCAGGAAGCTGAGCAGGGAGCCTGGCGCCAGATCCCAGGACCCTGAGATCACGACCTGAGCCTAAGGCACGTCCAACTGACTGAGCCACCCAGGCGCCCCTCGGGAGCATCTATTTAGATGATTGTAGGAGTGACTTCTTCAAAGCTTCTCCTTCCTCCAAAGCAGGTCAAAGCAGGAATGGAGCTGCACCTGAGTCAAGGGTCCAGGGTGATTTCAGGCCGTCTTCTTGTGGACTTGGCCCGGTGTTGGGTGGAGATGGAGTTACACCTAGTGGTAGGAGGGTAGGGCATTTCTGTCCTTGAGGACTTGCGGTTGCCTCCATATTACTCTAAGTCCGTGGTCCTCTCCTTTCTCTGCCTCTGAAGCAGGAGGCTGGGCTCCACCTTAAGAACAGTGCACTAGGCCGGGCTTTGGGGTCTCTGGTCAGCTGTGTCCGCTGTGGGTGAGGACAAAGAGCCCAGTCAGTGGTGCTGCCTGCCGTACCCATTTCCTGCTCCCACGGCCAAGAGGCCCCGGAGGAAGCTGGACTTTGGAGAGGGTGAGGGCCAGCTCTCTTCAGGCAGTTCCTCTGCTCCTGGTTTCTTTCCAGAGGATTCCCTTCTTCATTCAAACCGAGTCCCTGTGCTTAGTACAGAGAGTAGATCAGGGCAAGATGGTGGGTCAGTGGCTGAGAAATAAGGCTCAGGTGTGGGGGAGGGAGAAAAACTGGCGGGTCAAGGGAGGGGTACAAATGGATGGATATGGAATTCAAGTCGTGAAGCAGTAGGGATTAAAATGCAAACGATCCATGTATTTTCATTTCAGAATTTGTTGTAGTAAAGGATGATGAGTTGTCTGTTTGCTGCCCGCGTGCCTGGACAAAGCCGAGAGCAGATCCCTGTGGCACATGGCTGCAGACTGACTCTGATCCAGAACGAGTCCCTTCAGCCTATCCGGCTTGGTGTTGGGACCATCCATCTCAACGAGGTGATCCCGTTCCCTTGTGAAGGGGCAGCATCAGATGTCCCTGGTGTTTCTTTTTATTTTTTTTTTTAAGTAGCTCTACACCCAGTGTGGGCCTTGAACTCAGGACCCTGAGAGTTGCATGCTCTACTGACTGAGCCAGCCAGGTGGCCCCCCCCATTTTTTTTTTTTTTTGGTCCCTCATGTTTTTCTTTTTGTAAAGATTTTATTTATTTATTTGAGAGAGCGAGTGAGCGAGCATGAGCAGGGTGAGAGGCAGAGGGAGAGGGAGAAGCAGGCTCCCCGCCGAGCAAGGAGCCCGACGCGGGGCTCGATCCGAGGACCCCGAGATCATGACCTGAGCCGAAGGCAGACGCTTAACCGACTGAGCCACCGAGGCGGCCCTGTCCCTGGCGTTTCTAATCGGAAACCTGGGCCGGGTCCTATTTGTAAGGCAGCAGCAGAGTCCAAGGGTGAGGCGTAGGGGTTACAGGATGGAGAGAAGGGACATGAGGGCTACTGAATGGCAGGAAACAGAAGTCCAGTGGGGAGTAAAGGATGGGTGATTGACTGCGGAGGATCACCGGACCTGAAAGATTTGTGGAGGGTGAGATACAGGCACTTTGGTCACTTTGTGGGGTGCTTGTGGAGATTGTGTGCTTGTGTCTTTAATTATTAACTTAGCACGGAGGAATTACGGGAGTAGTCTTGCCCAGCCCTGTGATCAGGTTTGGTTGTTTATTGTCTTGTTTATTAGGCAGAAAAGCAAGTGTTTGTATGGGAGTAGGATGCCCCGTCTAGGGAAGAGCAGAAAAGAACGTGGGCAGCCAGTAGACTAGGAAGGGGTGTAAGGGAGGGAGAGGGAGAAGCCGAAGACGAGCCAGCTGCTCCCTGAGGTTGGTCTTTCCTGCTTCTCAGGATGAAGATGCTTCTGGGCCAGGGTGGTGAGGCCAGGACACAAGACAACAGGAGGATTAGGGACAGGGAAGGAGGAGGCTTCCTGTGTTGGTGGCCTGAAGCTGGCAAGCCCAGCACCAGACCTCCCTTTCTCCACTGGGAAGGCAGGCTGATTCTGACCTTGCCCTTCGAGCTCTTGCAAGGACTGGCAAGCCCTCCCCCTGGGGCTCCCGTGGCTGAGCCAGGAAGGCAGGCTCAGTGAGGTGATGGGCTGCCACAGTGGAGGCGGGCTCCCTGCACGCTTCAGGCACCGGTGCGGGATCTGGAACCTTCAGCTGGCTCTCAGAATCCTTTTCACTTTCTTCCTGGCCACATCCTGGGGCTAGGGGTCAACCTCACAGCATCTGTGGGCTTCCTTTCTTGATTTTCTTTCCTCTGAAGTACTGGATTGAAACTTTTTTAGGGGTAAGGGATTTCTCCGAGATTCTGACAAAGGCCATGGGCCTTTTTCTTAGAAAAATGCATATACTGGAGGGCGCCTGGGTGGCTCAGTCGTTAAGCGTCTGCCTTCGGCTCAGGTCATGATCCCGGGGTCCTGGGATCGAGCCCCGCGTCGGGCTCCCTGCTCTGTGGGAAGCCTGCTTCTCCCTCTGCCACTCCCCCTGCTTGTGTTCATCTTGAATGAAGATGTCTCTCTCTGTCAAATAAATAAATAGGATCTTTTTAAAAAAAAATGCATATACTTTGGACATATGTACGTAATCATTTACAAGGAATATCAGGCCTCGTGGAAGCCCTAGGTTAAGAACCCTGGCTCTAAGGGTGATCCGTGAACTTTCCCAAAGCTCGTCTGGGTAAAGGGATTGCCTCTCCCCCAGGGTAGGACTTAAGGAGTGTTTGTGGCTCACCCTTTTGCATTGTCTGGTCAGGAAAAGTGCCATCCCCACTCTATAGGAACCTCGGCTCCAAGGATCTTTCCAAGTACAAAGACAAGCGGCTGAGCTGGCAGGCAGTAGCGGGAGGTCTGGCCTCCATTCGAATCCTTGGCCACATGTCCTGACCCGCTGGCCCAGCACTGGATAAGTCACAACAGGATTCGCCAAGGTTAACAATAGCACAGAGCGCCGAGTCCTGGAGCCCATATCAGGAGGTAGAGGGGTGCAAAAGCTGGGAGGATGGTGACTTTTCAGAGCCAATAGCCAGAAAGCATCACTAATCCTGTATGGCTACTGGTTACCTCCCACTGCTGTGAGCACTGTTCTATGTAAGCAAAATCCAGTTACTTTGTGTTTCCTCCTCGCGGGTAAGTGCTAAAGGGTGTGTGTGGTGCTGCCTACGCAGATGCTTAGCAGGAGCCTTTGAATGCTAACGGGGAGGACCTGCTGGGCAGAGGTTTTGAATACAGAGCAGATCAGAGCCCAAACACTGTCTTTGGCCAAAGAGGACTGCTAGTGGAAATAATGCTTGGGGGGGGGGTCTAAGGCTCTTTGGGTGGTAGGGTTGGTTACTAATCAGAATTATTTTTTCAGGTCTCTTAACCTTTGTTAACTGTGCCTACGTCAAGTGGGGAACGCTGGTACAAGATATCTTCACCTATGCTAAAGTATTGGCGCTGATTGCTGTCATCATCGCGGGCATTGTTAGACTTGGCCAGGGTAAGCGGAAGAGCAACGAACTCGTGAGCATTTTCTTTGAGTCCTACTTCTTTAAATGCCCTTTGTGCATTCTCATTTGCTAGGTGCCATAATTTTCATTTTGTAGAGGAGACTGAGGCTGCAGAACTCAGTATCTTGCCCAAGTCCCTAGCTCCTAGTACGTCAGTGGGGATTTGTACTCAGACTGACCTCAAAGCCTGTCTTCTCTGCATGCTCCCAGAGGAGGCTGATCTTGGCAAAAGGGCTGACCATGATGCCCTGGGAGCCGGCTTTAGCCGACTGTCCAGCCCAGTGCTGTAGGCTATGATTGTTCTGCCCTTGGAAGTTCTGCAAGGGCAGAAATGAACTCCTTGTATCCACTCCTCTCCAGTTTCCAGGTAGGAACACCTGCCCCGCCAGTCTGTTGCCCTGGGCATAAGGAGCGCTATCCTTCCTCCATCCTGTGCCAGCTGTTTGTGGTGTTAGAAAGGGGGTAGGAATGGGGCAGCTTACAGGGCAGGACGGAACCACATCACTTCTGTTCTATAGGCCTGCTCCGTAGTGCTTTCTTACCCTAGAAAGCCATCACAGTCCTTCCTGTCAAGATCCCTGTGCTGTCCCCTGCACTCCAGCCTATCACTGTAGAGGTCTGTCTCCCGTTCCCTGTTCTCTCACCAGCACCCTTGCTGCCGAAGGTGTTCTAAGCCACTCGCTTGCTGTAAGCATCATGTTCTCCCACTCCCTTTTCTGAATCACTTTGAAGCTGGGGGTAGGCCACTAATCCTTCTGCCTTTCCATGTTCTCTGGACTCTAGGAGCCTCAACGCACTTTGAGAATTCTTTTGAGGGTTCATCATTTGCAATGGGTGATATTGCCCTGGCACTGTACTCGGCTCTGTTCTCCTACTCGGGCTGGGACACGCTCAACTACGTCACCGAAGAGATCAAGAATCCTGAGAGGTCGGTATCTCACCATCAGTCTTCCATGGCAAGAAGGATAGCTGTCCTTCACTGAGAGCACACCACAACCACCGAGACAGATTTTATCAGTGCCACTTGACTAGATGGGAGGCCCGAAGGCCAGAGAGATAACTTGTCCCGGATAACAGGCCTTGTCACAACTGTCCCTTCATTCCTGCATTCATTACAGCAGGTCGTACCATGTGTTCATATGTGCTTTCTCACGGGTTTTCCTTGATATTCACCCACCCTTATTCCCACACAGACAACTTTAGGTCATAGAGGCCCCAAAACTTTCCCATTTTCCTTTTGAGCCCTTCCTGCTTTCTCAAATGTGTACTGACATAGTGGTATCGTGTCAGCATTTAGCAGCATTACTTCAGCCTGGCTATTCTAAATTATTCGGCCGTCATGCAGAGTGACAAGAGCACTGGACAGGGAGTCAAAGGGCCTGGAGCCTGTCTTTCCACTGATTTCAGTCCCCTGCCAACTCTGCCTGCTTCCTTATCTGTAAATTGACGGGGTTGAATTATATGATCTCTGGAGCCCTTCCTGGCTCTAAAATTCAGATTCTTGGAACTAAGATTACCAGGGAGTGGAGTTTCTGTAAATTTTTAAGTCAAAATAATAAACTCTCGGCACACCGCCAGTGTTGCAATCCCCGGAGCAAATGCTAGAAGCAGGACCAAAGCCTGGGTGGTGCTCCCACCTACTGGACAGAAGCTAAATGACTCGAGTATGCCCCTTCCCTGTCACTGTGAAGAATGGTTTATGAAGGTCAGAGCTTTATTGGTCTAGAGGACCTTGTCTTTGTGTTTTTCTCTTAGCCACTGGTTAGGATGGCCCCCCACGTTCTCACACTGAGTAGGAGGATGGAGTGAACACAGTTCCCAGGTTGCTTATTTGGATATACACATTGTTCTTGTCAGTGAGGGCCTTATTCTCTGGATTTCACAATTTGCCTAATTTCCTCTTGTATTTCTCAACCTTAAGACAAATTTCCCATGTTGCCAATCTTAAGAAGGAATCCTGACACCAAGAGGCCTTGGATGTAAAAAAAAAAAGAACAAAAAACCCCAAAAACCCACAAGCCCCCCTGCCCCCCCCGCCATTTCCTGTGCTATTACATGGTGACATTGTTCTCTATTAATCCTTGTTCTGCTGTTTGGTTAGCCTTTTCTCTAAATGTGATATTCCTTTCCCTTGATGCTCTTTAAGCTCTGAGCTCAAGAATGAAGTCACTGTTGTACACAGCTTCAAAGGCAAAAGCACTGGGGAAACGCACAGGAGGCCCCATCCCTGGATTGGTGTGGGAGTCTGAGGATTAAAGGAGATGGGGATGTGACCCTGGGACTAACGTGTGCATTATTCTTTTTGGCTGTAGGAATCTGCCCCTGTCCATTGGCATTTCCATGCCCATTGTCACCATCATCTACATCTTGACCAATGTGGCCTATTACACCGTGCTAGACATGAGGGACATCCTAGCCAGTGATGCCGTTGCTGTGGTAAAGGATTTTCACTAGCAGAAGGCTGAGGGTGTGTTTGTGGGCTTCTCGGAATACTGCAGCTCCAGTCCTGGAGAGGGGGTAGTCCTTGGAAGGAGTATGCGTAGGGGCACCTAGCTGGCTCAGTTGGTCGAGTGGGCAGACTCTTGATCTTGGGGGTTTAGTTTGAGCCCTGTTTGGTGTAGGGATTACTTAAATCTTAAAAAGTATGCTTCGGATACTGCGTTTAACAAGGTTGTCACTCCAGCTGTGGAAGAAGGGTTGGCTAGTTTCGGGGCCGTCTCGGGACATGCTTGCATCCTTTTTAGATCCTGCTAATGACTCTTTTTTGGTCCTTTCCCTTAGACTTTTGCAGACCAGATTTTTGGAATTTTCAACTGGACGATTCCGCTGGCGGTTGCATTATCCTGCTTTGGTGGCCTCAATGCCTCCATTGTGGCTGCCTCTAGGTGGGAGTGGTGCCTTTTATGGGGGGAAGGGTAGGACTTACAGGACGCAGGTTTAGTCACTGTGTTCCCCAAGTCATATTTACCCCTTTGTTGTTTCCATCAGCAGCCTCTAGTTCTCCCTAATCTCAAAACTGAACCCCATTCCGTATTATTCACTTTTTTGGAGGAGGGGAGGGCAGTGGGAGGGCTACGTGGCATGTGAACCAGCCCCACCCAGTGTCCCCCAAGTTTCTCAGCCTCTCTCATCTTACCCAAAATAGGCTTTTCTTTGTGGGTTCAAGAGAAGGCCATCTCCCTGATGCCATCTCCCTGATTCATGTTGAGCGGTTCACACCAGTACCTGCTCTGCTCTTCAATGTAAGTGACCTCAAGGGTGGGGCTGACTGTGTCAGGGGCCCACCAGACTGTGGGGGAAATGTTAACAGCAGTGGGGGCGCCTGGTTAAGCGTCCGACTTCATTTCCGCTCAGGTCATGGTCTCAGGGTCGTGAGATGGAGCCCCACGCTTAGAGTGTAGTCTGCTTAAGGCTCGCTGTCCCTCTACTATTCCCCCCAACAAATAAATCTTAAACAAAACCAGTAGAAGCAACTGTTCTAGCTTTCCCAAAACCTTATAGAATTTAATAGAAAAACTATCTTCTCTTAAAAAAAAAAGTAACCTCTTCTGGTCTAGGATAAAGCATAGAGTACAATGAATATAATGAAATAACTGCCATGATAGTAAATGACATAGTGCTTAAGGGAAAAATGATCTTCCATGGGAATAGAAGGTAAAGGAAGAAAGACTTCTTAGACAAAGTGCATTTGTTTTGTTTTTAAAAAAAAGATTTGAGAGTGCGTGCACAGGGGTGAGGGGCAGAGAGAGAGGGTCTCTTAAGCAGACTCTGTAGGGAGGGCGGAACCGCACACGGGCTTGAACTTGTGACCCTGAGATCCAAGCCTGAGCCAAAACCAAGGGTCAGACGCTTACCTGACTGAGCCACCCAGGCGCCTCTAGACAAAGTACATTTGAAGTGGATTTTTTTTTTTTAAAGATTTTATTTATTTATTAGAGAGAGAGAGAGAGAGAGAGTGCAGGAGCAGAGGGAGAGGGAGAAGCAGACTCCCCGCTGAGCAGGGAGCCCGATGCGGGGCTCGATCCCAGGACCCTGGGATCATGACCTGAGCTGAAGGCAGACGCTTAACCGACTGAGCCACCCAGGTGCCCCTTGAAGTGGATTTTTAAGGATAGGTTGCAAAAGGTGGAGATGGGCTTTAAGTTAAGAGAAACAGTATGGGGGGGGCACCTGATTGGCTCAGTCGGTGAAGCATGCCAACTCTTGGACTCGGGGGCTTCGTGAGTTTGAGCCCCATGTTGGACTTAAGATTACTTAAAAAATAAAAGGCACTAAAAAAACCCCTCAAAACCGTATCAAAGTCCTGGGGTAAAGCAGCGTGAAGTTGGGTAGTAGGAGATAAAGCCTGGAAATGTAGGTTGGAGCCATCATGGAGAGGCTCTTCAGCAAAAGATTTGTGAGGAATTGTTTTGATCTGTGGCAAAGGTTTGAAGAATGGGCCTGAAAAAAACAATCGAGAGGCCCCTGGCTTACTAGAAAAGGAAGGAGCTATTGTCACTAGGGTGCTGAAGCGTGTGGGAACAGAAGGGGGGCGGGGGAGGAGAGACCCCGAGGCCCTGAGAAGGGGGAAGCGCCCTTCAGTGACAGGCCGTGAGAGGAGCTGACGTGGGCTTGCGCCTGCAGGGTATCATGGCACTGATCTACCTGTGTGTGGAGGACATCTTCCAGCTCATTAACTACTACAGCTTCAGCTACTGGTTCTTTGTGGGGCTCTCTATTGTGGGTCACCTTTATCTGCGCTGGAAGGAGCCTAATCGGCCTCGTCCCCTCAAGGTACGTGACCTCCCTCCTCCCTCTGCCTGGGCCTCGGGGGCGCTAGGGCGTGATGAAGGGCGCAGAGAGACTCAGCGGCCTCCCCTCCCAGGAGGGACTAGCACAGCTGCCCCGCGAGCTGAGCCCCCGTTTCCTCTGTGCCTGCAGCTCAGCCTCTTCTTCCCCGTGGTCTTCTGCCTCTGCACCATCTTCCTGGTGGCTGTGCCACTTTACAGCGACACCATCAACTCCCTCATCGGCATTGGCATTGCGCTCTCAGGCCTGCCCTTCTACTTCCTCGTCATCCGAGTGCCAGAACACAGAAGACCTCACTGCCTCCGAAGGATTGTGGGTAAGCCTTTGGGTCTTCGAGCTGACCGGCTATCATGTGGCCATCTCCACCCCAATCTGGTACCCCCCCCCCCCGTCAGTTTTGCCCTAGCCCCTTCTCGATGTTCACTGTAAGGCTTCATGGAATTTGCCCTCAGGCCAGCCCCGGTCGGTGCCACCGGAGTTGAGCCCAGCTGACCTCTTCTCAGTCCTGACTCACATTTCTCTTCGTAGCATCCGCTACATGGTACCTCCAGGTCCTATGTATGTCAGTTGCTGCAGAGATGGATTTGGAAGATGGAGGAGAGATGCCCAAGCAACGAGATCCCAAGTCTAACTAAATACCATCTAGAATCAAGCCTGAGATGTGGAAAGCAGGGGCCTCTTGTCTCTTACTGGCTGGAGCCAAGGAAGATGAAAAGGGAAAGTACACCTCTTTGTTGAAACTGCTCAGACCAGGCTTCCGGACAGGTGCCTTCAATTTTCGAACTTGCTGTTTGAGAGATGAAAAGTAATTTATTTGTTTTGCTACCCATTGCTTTATTGTCCCTTTTAAAAAAATCTGGAACAGACTGTGGTGGGGAGCATGTCAGGTGTGGGCTTGGTTTTACTAGCAGCACATTCCCACGTGTTAAGATACTCATTCACCTCTGGGTGTGCCCAAGCACTCCTTTTCCTTTAAAAGGGCCAATAATGCTCCGAACTTCCTGTCTCCTTTAGAGAGACATGAAACTGTCACAGGTGCTAGATAATAAAAGGGTGATGTTCTAGGGTGCCTGGGTGGGCTCAGTTGGTTAAGCGACTGCCTTTGGCTTAGGTCATGATCCTGGAGTCCCGGGATCGAGTCCCGCATCGGGCTCCCTGCTCAGCGGGGAGTCTGCCTCTCCCTCTGACCCTCTTCCCTCTAGTGCTCTCTCTCCTTCATTCTCTCCCTCTCAAATAAAATCTTTTTAAAAAAAAAAGGTGATGTTCTAAACTTCGAGTGGCTTCATTTTAGATAGGTCTTGTGCTTGAAAGTATCTGAGTATTTCTTCCCTCTCAAGTCAGGTGCTGGTGGCTGATGCAACCACTCTCTATACTGGAGAACACACCTAAGCTGCTTAGCAAAATGATTATTTTATAGCATCCTGAGATAAACCCATGTATGGGGTGGGAGTGTAAGCTTGTAATGCCAGGTTACAATGCTGAGGCACTTCCTAAGAGCACAGGCAGGAGCAATCCCCAGCTGATCTAGTCTTCAGTTTTCTGAAGCACACCATCCGTTTCCCTGTTTAATAAAGTATCCGGAAGCAGCATGTAGTTCAGAGGTTTACTGATTCTGTGGCTGGCAAGATCACTTGGCTCTTTTACACTTAGATGTGAGAGTCTGTAATGGAAACCACTTTTAAAAGGAAGATCTCGACACCCCATGGTTTCTAGGTCTGGGGCAAAGACTCCGTGTCAAATCTGTTCTGATGCCGAGTCTTTGAAGAGCGAGCTCCTACCAGTCTGAGCAGGAACGGAATTCAGCCCAGCGTGTCACGCCAGGGCTGCTTTGGCTTGGCACTGCTGCCATTAGGGGTGCTGGGAGGCTGATTCTTTCCAGGCTGTAGCAATGGGTTGTGGGTAAAGGTCTGTCGTAAGGGACCTAGGGCAAGAGAAAACAAATCTCAACGAAGGAAAGGAAGAAATAAATCCCAGAATTTAGACCGCAAGGGTTATTTACCCCTGGCAGCTAGTTCTAAGTGATTCTGCATGCGTCGTTCGCGCTCTTTGAGCTGATGTGCCAGTTCGGCATTCTTCCATCCTGTGTAAAGAGGAGGAAGACGGTGGGTCCTAGGCCCATTTTTAGACTACTTCCCCCCAGTCCCGTTTCACTGAGGACAGACCCTTACCTCTTTTGAAGCTTTTTACAAAACCTTCCCGTGGAAGTAATTTATTGGAGTCATGCACAACACGCTGGGGGATTTTAAGTATAGTCCGTACGGCTGGAATCCGGAGGCAAGTCACCTGGACCAGGGAAAACGTATTGGAGGAGAGCCAGTACATGAACACCGCCTGAAGGAGAAGAGAGAGACAGTACTGAGGAGCTGTCCTCTGCTGTCAGCTTGATGGCAGATAGCTAGGCTAGATGGAAAGGCCTGGAGCCAGTTCCTAAGCCATTACCTACCGTGGGGAAATGGATAGTTATGGGCAACACTGCTAGGGGCATCACTCTGATCACATTTCTCATCCACTGAAGATCAGAACTTTGCACACCAGTCTCCGCACCTAGCTGCCAAAAAAAAAAAAAAAAGTACTTGCACATCATTTCTAGAGAATCTGGCTCAGATTTCAACCCATCAATTCTACTTTATCTCTACTCCCCACTTTGCAGGCCTGGCACTTAGCCAACCTGGGCTTACCTCAAGGACACCCCACATTGTAGCAGTGACCACCAGTGGTAATATGTAGGTGGGGTCAGATAGTGTGAGATCCTGGAACCACAGGAGGCCACCTGTCTGCAGGCTGGGCACAGGAAGGTTGGCCATTTCTCTCAAGGCAATGAAGAAGGAGATGAAAATCGGGGCCTATTACACAGGATAAACAGTGTCAGGGCCTTTTAGCAAAGGGGACATTTTCATTACTCCATCAATGAAAACCTTACCACCACCCCTGCTCTTTGGGAGTCTAGGGCGTGGGAAACACAGGAGTTTATCTGACTGGTGTAGGATAAAATAAGAAGGAAAAGGTTTTTGCTTACCTGAGTCAGAGGTAGAATAAGAGGTCTAAAGAGTTTAACATCATGCTTTTTCTGGTAAAATGTCATTTCCGAGGAGGCCTTGTAAACTGTGAATGAGGGGAAGTTAATGGTTGGGCTAATAATTACATCGATGGAGGTGACCATCCTTACCACCTGGCCCATAAGATTTCTACCTGACCCTGGCCAGTCACTGGAAACATTAGGCCCAAGAAGCAGGTAGATCTTTAGAACTCGCCCACCTCTAGCAACCCTCAGCAGAATGTCAGGAAAGTGCAAACATGGTCCTCTCCTATGTGCATTCTGCAGTTGACTCACACTCAGCATTGTCTCCTGCCAACTTGGCCTCTCTGATTCGAGTGGAAAACTTCTGGATCTCTGGCAAGTGGTTGTGGATCTTGGCTGCTTCTCGCTGGCCCTTCACGATGAGAGGAAACACCAGGCAGCGGGCAAGGACAGTACCTGGAAAACACAAACTAGGACTGGAGTGAAATCAAAGCAGTGCTGCAGTTGGAAGGCTGAAGGGTTTTAGGGCCTCACTGAAAGGGCCTTTTTTTATTCTAGTCTTTTCAACACTGTGATGCCTGCTGAAGGAACCCAAAACAAAGAGCAGGAGTGACTTGGTTCCTTCAAGGCTCATTTCTCTGCTTTGACCTCACAAAAGTCTAACATTAACTTCTGTAAGCAAATGGCCAGGGATACCGTTTATTTCCTCGAACAAAAGGTGAGAGAAGATACTTTTCTAGATCAGTGGCATCTGAACTTTTCTATTATCAACGGAATCTCCCTACCCTCCACTCTTTAAGTGTAGCCCCAATATACGTAAGAGAGAAAACCGAGCTGCTCTGAGAGAGTAGTCTGGCTACAGAACTGTTCGAGCTCTGGCCTTTGCTTTTCTCAGAGGCACCGTACACAACTCTGGGAACTTCAGGAATGAAGTTTGAAAGCCACTATCCTAGAAATCCCTAGGGTAGGAAGTAATCTGGTGGCTTACTGCTTTAGCTCCTCCCCATTTTTCTTTCTTTTTTTTTTTTTTAAAGATTTTATTTATTTATTTGAGAGAGAGAGAATGAGAGATAGCATGAGAGGGAAGAGGGTCAGAGGGAGAAGCAGACTCCCTGCTGAGCAGGGAGCCCGATGTGGGACTCGATCCCGGGACTCCAGGATCATGACCTGAGCCGAAGGCAGTCGCTTAACCAACTGAGCCACCCAGGCGCCCTAGCTCCTCCCCATTTCTTATACTTCCTATTTCCTGATCATTCCAAAAATATTTATTTAGTTTATCAGTAGACAAGCAAGAGGGTCTGGGCTGAGAAGAGGGTGGTGGTGCAGGGGGGGAATATGGGCTTAGGCTTTATCAGCATTATGATGGCTGACATGGGGTGGGAAGAGAGGGAAGCTAAGGATGAAACCGAGAATAGTAGCCTTGAGGGAGCAGACTGAGAACTGGGCAATGGCAATGGAAAGATGTGGTCAGAAAGACAAGAAGAAAATCGGGAAAGATGATCACAAAAGCCAAGGGAGAGATTTCAAGGTCTAAAATGTCTAATACAGGACCATAGGCCCAAGGGGATCAAAATGGAGGAGAAGGAAAGATCCTGGGCTTACATCCGCTCAAGGATATACCAAAATCTACAACTACATATAGAACTATCACTGTGTAAAGAACTTTAGCAAAACAGATCTTACACACCTAAGGATATAAAGAAAAAGTCATTTTGAGTTGGGTAGGAGGCAGAGACAAGGTCTAGTCAGGACCCACGAGTAGGAGGGATATCATAACCATAAAGACTCTCCCTGTGAAACAAGGGGTCCAAGCCCCATACTGGGTTCCCAGCCCTACACTAGGAAGACCAGCCCCTACAACCTCTGGTTTTGAAAACCAGCAAGGCTTATGCCTGGGAGGTGCAGCACAATCTCACTTGCTGAACTTCCAGCACAGAGGCAGCAGTTTGAAAAATGCCTGGGCTACAGGCGAAGGAGATGCACGGACTGATTTTAGGGCATGTGGTGGCAGGGCAGGGATCTGTCCGAACAGTCTCTGGGGATGGATGAGCTGGCAGGCACCATTTCTGACATTCTCCATCTACTGTGCTAGCATCAGCTTGCCCAGCCCAACCAACCCACAGGCCAAGAGCCCTTCTTAAGAGGCTCCCTGCCCCTGCCACACCCAGCAGGTGGCCTCTGCCTGCACCAGAGCCACCCCCACCAAGCAGCCCTTGCCCTGTGTATACGAGAGCACCTGCAGCAGCTGGACCTCACAGTCTGCCACACAGGAGGCCTGCCCTCCCCACCAGTGGAATGGAGCTGTCACAGCTGGGCTTTGTAGCCAGCTGTGCCGAGGCCAACCCCCCACTTACTCACCCAACAACAGTAGTGGCTGGACCTCTCAGACAGGATGGGGGGCAGTCCTGCTTACCAGCATACCTGAAGAAGTTGTGGCTGAATCTTGCAGACAGCTGTGTCAGGGGACAGCCCTGCAAACCACTGAGTCTATACCAACAGTGACCCAGCCACAAGAGGGTGCACGCAGCCCACAAAAAGAACCCCTAGGGCACCTGGCTCAGGTGACTAGGAAGTCTGCACTACTGGACCTCACAGGACACCTGCAAAAAGCTACTCCCCTTCAAGACCAGGAGACAGAACTGATCTAACTAATACAAAGAAACACAGGGTTAGGCAAAACGAAGAAACAGAAGAGTATGTTCTAAAGAAAGAATAATTACTCAGAAAAAGAACTAAACAAAAGAGATGAGCAATCTACCAGGTAAAAAGGTCAAAGTAATGGCCATAAACATACTCACCAAACTCAAAAGAATGAACACAATGAGAACTTCAACAGAAACGATTTAAAAACAAAACAAAAACAACCAATCAGAGCTGAAAAATACAGTAACTGAAATAAAAAGTCCACTGGAGAGATTCAACAGCAGATTACGTGATGCAGAAGAATGAATCAGCGATCTGGAAGACAAGGTAGTGGAAATCACCCAACTGGAACAGCAAAAAGGAAAATACTAAGGACAGTTTAAGGAACCTTTGGGACAACATCAAGTGTAACTAACATTGGCATTATAGGGATCCCAGGAGAAGAGAAAGGGACAAAAAACCTGTCAGCCGAGAAATTCCCTAACCTGGCAAAGGAAACAGACTTTCAAGTCCAGAAAGCACAGAGAATCCCAAAAAATTGAGCCTAAAGAAACTCACACTAAGACTAGTTAATCAAAATGCCAACAGTTAAAG